AATTGATTGAGGGGGGAGGTGAGGCAAGCCAGGCAGGGTCTCCCTCTCTCCCTGCCTCTCTCTCTCTTTCTCCTTTAACTGCTTTACATTAACCTCAGAAGAGGATGTAACTGCTCTTTTGTCTGCTGTATACAGCCCTAGTAATGGATGAGACGGCAACTGCGAAGCCATTTACTCTCCTGCAGTTCCATTAATGTCAGTCACTGCAGTCTGAGCCTGCAGGAGAATAAAATGTGAGGGGTTCGGAGTTGATATACACACATAGTGCCTCTTGACAGTATGATTCATGAAGACTCCAGGTATTATAGAAGGAGATCAGTGTGCCGGGAAAGCCAATTAGGTCTAGGTGAGAGGAAAATATAAACCTGTCAAATGCTGGATGATTGCACTATGTCAGCAGAACTGTCAGCTTCTGGATCTCTAATCCCTGTTTGCAACAGACATGTTATATGAGAAGAGTCCAGTCCTATGATGTTTATTGTGTTTTGTAAGCTTACTCCCAGGTAAGCATGCACAGAACTGCTGCCTGATGGTGGAAAAATATGGATGCATACTTATAAGTAAATTTCAGTGAGCTCAATAAAACTTGCGTCCAGTGTTTTTTTTTTTGATCCACAACCTTTGACTTATCTAGCTTTAAGTCCTGATTCCACATTCACAGGACCGGTTGGCTTTGTGCCTCACCAGCTTGCCTTTCTGGGGAACTGATGTTCTGTGACTCTCTGCATTCATCGAGACAGCCATTCTGTGAACAGGCAACCACTGCATGGCAGCCATTTTCTGATGGCAGGCACCCATGATATTCTCTGCCCACCAGTCTGAAAAGATTTGGGGTCCTGGGCATATGAAAATCCCACCAAATGGTATTGAGAGGTAAACACACTCTCTGATACTGGTGGTAATATACAGTCAGCATGATAGCTTTATACTTCCCGAATTTAATTTTCTTTTAAAGCTGTCCATGTTGGCCACTGTTTCTGTACCTGTAGAAGCCAATTCCACTGTGTGAAGAAGTACTTTGATCTATCAGTATCAAATCCTCCACTCTTTAGATCTGATGGATAATACTGGGTTCAAGACTGAGAGGGGGAGAAAACATTCCTCTATCCAGTTTATCTATACCAGAGATCTACCATGTCTTGTAGTTCCTAGCAAATAAGACCCAAACCTTGCAACCTTTCCTTACAGAATTGCTCCAACTCCTTGATTATTTTGTTACCCCTGTTGTGTCTTTTTGCATGGCACACTATGAAATGATTATAGAACATTAGTCTAATCTATCACACAAAGTTGAATGAGTGAGAAAGGGGTACATTGACATGTTTAGCTTGGAGGAACAGTGGGATGAAACGGTCACTTAAATGCTGCAGCTAGGCACATGACTGATTGCACTGGGAAGGGTTGCTTTCACAGGATTGAACTCCCATCAAGCAACACCTTCCATCAGCTGCAGAATTGTTCCAGCCTGATCCCTGAAAGTAGAAGCTCTACACCTGGAGCAAAAAAGGTCCAGCTTGGGCAAAGACGGAGGTCAGGTTGAACAGCATTGCCCCACGTGTCATGTGACCACTGGGAAATAGCCTGCACTGAACCGCTCCACAGGCAATCCAAATTATGATTTATCCCCCGGTGTGATCACGCCCTAACTAAGGAGTGCAGGTAATAGCATAACCATTATTTCATTGCTGCCAAAATGTGAAAGCTTACAGAATGAAGGATACTCCATGCAGTTTTTCTTCCTTGCAGCATAAATTCATTCATCAAATGTAGCTTCTTCTTGACAATAGGTCAGTAATCTAAAAAAATGATTGTGTCTGGATTTTTGCTTCTGAAACTGCAATGTAAAAAGTACCCTGTGTTCTTGCTTGACAGTTTCAGATATTTACTTGCCTCGCAATAAGAGAAGAAATATTTTTTCCCCATGCAGAGCATGCCACATGCAGAGTTAAAGCACAGGGAAACAGTTGCTCATGTGCGCTTTTCACTCCAGAACAGGAGGAAAAGGAAAAGGAAAAATTTCTCTGCCCCTCCAGAGCTCTGCTTGGCATTAATGTTAATTGATTGTTATAACCAGCAAATGTCGGTGGCTGTGCCATGACCTGCATTTCAATCAGAAACCTCTGCCTCCTTTTTTAAAGATCTCATATTCTTGAGTACACCTTGGCTGCCTTCCAAGACAGGACTTGAAATTCCAAAAGAAATGCCATTTCCGGATTTCTTTTTACTGGCATCCTGTGGGAGGCTGCCAGAAATCAAAAAGTCATGTGAAAATGGAGGTGTAGCAGCCTCGGAGCATTTAAGTGGCAGAGCAGAGACAAATCTGTAACATTATTAAATAGACACTGAATTAGATTGGAATGGGAAGTCAGCTCTATGCCTTTTCCACAACATACTGGCATTAAAAGAAAGGAATTATCAACTAATAGAGATAGCTTCCATAAGATTTGCTAAAAACTAGACACTAAAATGAACACACGCTTGCAATCGATCAGTTACAAGTGGAAACTCCCCCCCACCCCCGTCTACATCTAAGAGTGCCATCAGCTCATATTCTGGACTGCTTGTGGTGTAGTTGTATTCAAATTATTTTCCACCAACCAGAAGGGAGCATGTTTCCCCAAAAAGAAGACAGGGTCTTATAATATTTTTTTGCTCCAAAAATGCATTAGGGCTTATTTTCAGAGGATTTTTTTTTCATGTACAACAATCTACATTTATTCAAATACTGTACAGTCATGTCATCTTCTGATTGCTGCACAATGCTACACAATGGTGGAGGGCAGGGTTTCACTTAACTGGGGTTTACTTTTGAGGTAGGACTTATATTATGAGCATCCTGAAAAATCATACTAGGTGTTATTTTCAGGTTAGGTCTTATTTTCCAGAAAATAGTATACAGGAAATTGTGAGCCACCCCCTGCCCTGCTCCATGCCAAATCCTGACTTTTTAGTCTAGTGGCAGAGGTACTCTTGTTTTGGAGCTGTAAAGTAAGTTATATTGGGTAAAAAAAAAAATAAATCAAAACTTTATTTATCAGCTGATGGGTTCTGAGCTGTCTGTGATGGATCAGGAAAGAGTGTGCTGGTGGACAGCTTGATGAAAGTGTCAACCCAGTGTGGGCTGGCAGTGAAGAAGGCCAATTCCATGCTAGGTATCATTAAAAAGGGGATTGAAAATAAAACAGCCAACATTATAATGCCATTGTACAAAACACTGTTAAGACCGTACTGGAGTATTGCGTACAGTTCTGGTTGCTGCACCTCATAAAAGACACCGTGGAACTGGAAAAGGTGCAGAAGACACTGTCTAAAATGATGACTGGGCTGGGGCACCTCCCTTATGAGGAAAGGATACAGCATTTGGTTCTCTTTAGCCTAGAGCAGGGGTCCCCAAACTTTTCAGCATGAGGGCCACATCATATATGTTCCACATTTTTAGGGCCAAAGGAAGATGTGCGCGCCCACATGCCCGCACTCCTGCATACATGTACGCAGGTTACAAGCCATGATGGGGATGTAGAATCTCCAGGTTTAAAGGGAAGGTACCACAAAATGTCAGATGCAGGGGAAGGGTATCAGGAGACAGGTATCTAGCTGTCTTGTGTGCTCCCAGAGGCATCTGGTGGGGCCACTGTGAGTTACAGGAAGCTGGACTAGATGGGCCCTGACCTGATCCAGTAGGGCTCTTCTTATCTTCTATTGTTCAGTACAGTTTGTAGAAGGAGGGGAGGGAGAGAGAGAAAGTTACAGATTGAGTTTGACACCCTGTCTTCTGCCAAATATTTCTCTTTGTCTCTCTCATTCTTTTGCATTCCTTCCTGAACATTCAGTTGCAGAAGAGGTCTGTGCAATCTTGACAGCTTACATACAAAAGCTTTCATGAACTGTGGTTAGTCCTTTTAAGGTTAGTCCTTATAAAATATGCTTCGTCTGCCTCAGCTTATTTTCTGTGCAGCAGAATTCTATTAAAGGTGCAGCAACAGGATCAATAAAAATGCAGCAGACAGAGTCAGACAACGACAGGATCACATTGAAGAAAAGGGCATAATTCATAAGCAAAAGGATTGTATTACCCTGTGTGTTAATGTTCTTCGAAGTATTATTCTGAACCACATGTTTGCCTTATAGTTAATTGGTTTCCTCTAGAAGGCAGTGGATGGGACTTGGTATTTTTGAAGCCAGTGGCATAATTCTGAAAGGGAGGAGGATTTGAGTATGGTGAAGCACCCTATTGATTGGCTTATTTGTACAAAACTGACAGCCTTTCTGGGAACTTCTTGCTTCTGCTCAAACAGAACTGGTCTTCTGAAAGGTTGTGCTATGAGTCAGCAGTGGTTTTCAAAGTAGCTTGGTTAAGGAATACTCTACAGGCAAGCTTTGCCACCATGGCTGAGATGATCACTTGCATTAAAAGACCTACAATTCACGGCTCAATTTCTATGCTGAATAGAATAGGCACGCCTCACAGTCAATCACACAGCTACTGTACTGGAGTTATGGGAAGATGGGTTGTATGACACGCCTCACAGTCAATCACACAGCTACTGGAGTTATGGGAAGATGGGATGTATGGCAAAAGATTGCCCATTCCCAAAAGATTCCTCAACCAATAGAAGCTTTACATCAAAAGAACAAAGGGATTGCAGAATATATATGAAGACTTACTCTGACAGAAAGACAAAAGAAAAGGCTGGGAAGACATTTAAACAGAAGGCCTGAATGGCCCATAATTGTAAACAGAAATCAAATTACTGGATCATTGACTCAGGCTGCACCAGTGATTATATACATCAAAAAGATTTATTTATAACTCTTCTTCAGGGTCTCCAAACTTTTCACACAGAGCACTACATAATATATTTGCAATATTTTTGAGGGCTGAAGAAATGTACACATAAACATGCACACCCATCTTCATACAGGCATGCACACACTCCTACTCACCCACTTACATGCACTCCCACCCACACATTCACACCTACCCACCCACATGCGCACTTGCTTGCCTGCCCGCACACACACAGATATGGGCCGGATAAAAGGGCCAGGCAGGTCAGATGTGGCCCGTGAGCTGTACTTTTGAGACCTCTGCTCCAGATGAAAGATCCTGTGGAAATATGTTGACCCCATTAAAGTTGATGGAAAAGAGATGGCATTTTGCAATATTAATTGCCTCATGAAACAAGCAAGAATACTATAAGTATATATTGTTCTTGAAATAAAATGCAACATGAAGTGCATCAGTTTCAAATGATAAAGTTTTTTTCTATGCATTTTGAAAATGGGCAGTGTACAGTACAGAAAAATGGTGAAATCTATTTTTAAGCAGTTAAACCTAATGATGTCTATAAACTAAGTCTTCTAGATTACTAGCAACAGATCAACACAGGGTAATCTCAGGGAGAAGATGGCAACAGCTTGAAGCTATGGCATCATCATTTCATATACAGAGAGATCCAAAGGCAATTCTGGAGCTGCAAAACCAAAAACATGATACAAGCATCAAGATAAAGGCACAGGGTGCAACCAACATAACCAGGTGCATAAGCTGTATCACAGAAAAGAGTGTTATGCCCTCATCCCTGCCAAGGACTAAGAGAAGAAGCACCCATGTGGTGGATCTGATACACTTCCCTTGACCCACTGCAGAAAATCAGGGGAAGGGTTTAGAATACCAGAAATTGACACCAGAAGGAGCTGAAAACCTCTAGTTTAGTCCATTCCAAGTGACCACACTTGCTGGGAATGGACTAACCTGGAACCCTCCCATCCATACCAAAATAGTAGAACCCCCTGACAGGGATTCAAAAAGGTGCACGTTGGAACAAATTGGTCTGCTCCAGCAATGTCCATGTGTGGATGCTGGAAACAGAGCAGACCAACCCGACCCATCAGTGCACTGAACAACAGGACAAATGGTGACGTGAACAGCCTCTGAGAATGGGAAGGGAAACTATGAAAGAACCCGAAAAGCAGTGTGCACAAAGAATCTTGCAGGACACTTTGCAGATACAAGCAAAGAAGATGTCCTCACAGGTTTTAAGGAGGTATTTTAGGGTGCTTACTTGTTCATATTCAATTGTTTTAACAGCTGCACCAATATACTAAAAAGAAAAGAAAAGACAGTGACCTCATCTTTCCTTTCTTAAACAAGCCATTTATTATATCCTAATGAATACATGTGGGAAATGGTGTTTTGTTTTCTTCTTCTCGCCCCATGCAGTTCCTTCACTTACATCATTTAGTAGCAGACTTTATTTATGTGGAGGAAATAGCATGAGTCAAGGGGACTCTGTTGAGGTTTGTTCTTGTTCACAACCATTTTGACAGCAGTTGCAGAATCCAGATGTCCATTGAGTGTAATTGTTGGGGTACTATTTACAACCTCACATACCGTCTGTGCTTTGTGTTACTGGGAGGAACTTTTCCACACTGAAGTGATTGTTTATCAATCCAGCATTAGCCAATCATTCCTTCCAGTCTTTTACAGTGGTGCCTCGACTTACAAATGTCCCGACCTACGACCATTTCAAGTTATGACCAGCTCTGACCATCACAGAGCATTCTGGAAAATGATAAGAAGTGAGTAGAGGCAGGTGTTTATATTTATATTTACAGTATATATTTACATTGTTTTGGAAGGTATTTAAGTACTGCACGAAGACCTTGATTTCTATTGAAATGTTAACTACTGAAATGTTAACGACTCTTGGTTTTCAACTATGTAAAATCTTATCTTGGAAAATGGTGACAGACATCTTGTATCACTTTGCAAATCAATACAGAAGTAAGAACAATAATTATTGTGAAAAGGAAAAATACTCTTCCCAGTTACCTCTGAAGAAGAAGAGAAATATATGTGTATTGACTTGCAAAGTGATACGAGATGTCTGTCACCATTTTCCAAGGTAAGATGTCAATGCTACAACTGTATTCTAATGAAACTACTTTATTTTCTTAATAAAAACAAATAAAATTCTTCAACAGAGGCCTGGTTTCTTGAACAGCAGGATTGCACCTAAATCCAGTGGAGACTGGAAAGGTCACTAATTGCTACTAAATAGAAAGGTCCTACCTAGCCAGTCTGTTGTGCTGTCTAAGGAAGCACACAGTCAATGGCTGATTGCCTTGTAAGCAGGCAAGAGTGTTCTTGTAGGTTGAGCTTTGCCCATAGGGCAAAGGCTATGTACTTCTTAGACAAGATGACCTCTCTCAGGCATAAAAGTGGTAGTCTTGGGCCTACAGTGACTCCTCGCCCAAGATCACATTCTCTTTAGGGAGAAGTGATTCTGACATACATACATACATACATACATACATACATACATACATACATACATACATACATACATACATACATACATACATACATACATACATACATACATACATACATACGTGTGTGTGTGTACCTTTGAAATTTCTCCCAAGGTTCAGATTTTAGCTAGACTGAGAGACAGAGAGCTATACTACTTATTTAGGTCTTTAAAAATATATGCATTTTTATATTATTAAACTGCTTTGCAAGCTGCCCTGTGCACATTTGATAGCAAGATGGAATAAAAATATTTCAAGTGATTTTTTTTAAAAAAACAGATTTCTACACCATGCTTGGAGCTGGAATATGGGTATTTTCACACCACTGCCATTTTAGAGCTTTCGTTCTATGCTGATTTCTTCGACACCTCTCCTGGCCAGTTCAATATGCTGTGTACAGAACACTAAAGGGATAATTAAGGGAAGTGAAATATAACACTGGATCAGATGGGAGATTTTTCTTCTGGGAATCTGTTGGTCATGTCACTTCTTCGTTTCCCACAAATGTCTGATAAAGGAACCATTAAAGTCACATAAAATCAGAAGAGTTATTTTCCCCCATTCTTAAACCACTTAAAGACTTTCCTGATGTATAAAGGTAAAGGTTCCCCTTGACATTTAGTCCAGTCATGTCTGACTCTAGGGAGCGGTGCTGATCCCCGTTTCCAAGCCATAGAGCCAGCGTTTGTCCGTAGAAAATTTCTGTGGTCACATGGCCAGTGTGACTTAAACACGGAATGTTGTTACCTTCCCACCAAGGTGGTACCTATTTATCTACTTGCATTTGCATGCTTTTGAACTGCTAGGTTGGCAGGAGCTGGGACAAGCGAGGGGAGCTCACTCCGTTGCGTGGATTTGATCTTATGATTGCTGGCCTTGCAGCATAGAGCCTTCTGCGGTTAAACCCACAGTGCCGCCACGTCCCTTTTTCCTGATGTATATATTACAGCAAATTTTCAGTAACTGTGAATATTTTTTTTAAGGAATCCAGACATCTTTCCCAAAGCTGTTGCTTTCTTGGACAGTGTACCACATTTTTTCTAGCATTTTTTAAAAATATCTTTCTTACCCTGCCCCCTATCTAGTATATCAAATTAATGTCACAGATAACGTTGTTGTGTGAATGCCCTGATAGGTATCACTGGGTTAATGCCTTTGATATCACTACCAGGACACGTCTACACATATTTTAACGTTTTTAATTTTAAATTTTCTTTTGTTGTTTTTGTTGTTATATGCCATCAAGTCAGAACTGACTTATAGCAAACCTAATAGAGCTCCCAAGGTAAGTGAAGTATTTAAGGTATGGTTTTACCAGTCCCACTGACTCCGAGTGAGTTTCCATAGCTCAGCCCTATTCACACCCAGACCTCCCGAGATGTAGTCTGTTACTCTAGCCACTACTCCACACGGGGTACCACAAAAAATGAATTTGGGGGAAGTGTAATTATTCATTCACTACATGAAACAGGTAGCTTAGTTTAGGTATCTTGTTAGAAACCGTTAATGTGATCAAAGGTTTGCAGAAACCCTTACAGAAAAGCCCCACAGTTTAATTAATCTTTTACATAAAAAAATAAATCAACATGATATGAAAGCTTGAAAAAGTCCCTTTTATGGATGACAATTCACAGAATCCCACAGCCACAATAAGCCACCCATATCCACACTCATAATAACTGTGTGCTCTCAAGTTAATTTAGACTTGCCATGACCCTTTTCACAGTTTTCTAAGTAGAGAATACACAGTTTGTCATTCCCTTCTTCTGATGGCACCCTGGGACTGTGCTGTGCAGCTTGCCCAAGCCCACACAGGTGTCTTTTGTGTACAGCACTGATTCTTAACCTTGGGTTACTCAGGAGTTTTGGACTGCAACTCCCAGAAGCCTTCATCACCAAATGTGCTGACGGGTTTTTGGGAGTTGCAGTTCAAAAGCATCTGAGTAACAAAGGTTAAGAACCACTGGTGTAGGAGATACAATGTGGAATTGAGCTCCTGTCCAATTCACTGACCTCTCCAGCCAGCAACCCCATACCCATATCCAAACACATACAAAAATGCTCTATAACAAGGAATTTGGAAGTTGCATAGTTACCTATAACTAGTTACTTTTGCAGATAATGAAGATGCAATGGCCATACTTTCCCTACAATGAGCACAAATGCAGTTGCTATAACAAAATACATTATCAGAATATTTTCCAATTTAATTTTAAAAGAGCTTTCGGATAAAAATTTGTTTGAGTTTCATCCCATTCTCTCCTCAAGCAAGGCTCCACCCAAAGGAACAAGAAAGAAATGAAAACAACAACAACAAGCAGTGCAACATTACTTTCTCAGCATTGCACCCAGCAGGCTCATATACTTTTAAAACATATCTTTCCAAGAACTTCTGGCTCTTTTCGCTCAGCCAAGCTCCCCTCCCCCCGCTGCCATCCATTTAAGACTTTATTACCTGACTGTAATGAGAATAATGATGTAGATAATATCCAGGATGTTTTATTCATCTGGAACAGCTGCTGCATTCAGCTTCCTCTTTTAAAATGCAGTTCTTTTTACCTTTCTGGAGTGACTGGAAAATAAAAGATATTAACCATACAGTATATGCAACTGGGGAGATACAACAACTAGCATCTGAGGGTGGAAAGGCCCATGCTACTTACCATCTCTTTATGTGCCACAACACAGTGAAATGGGGCACAGAAAGGTTGAAAGATGCTTTAGCTAGTGTTGCCCCTTGTCCTCTTTTAGGCAGGCCTCCATGGAAAAAGATGCCAGAGCAAAATCCTCCTTTAGAAAGCATCATCCTTCTACAGGGCTATCTGTCAAAGTCTTGTTTAAGGGTAACGAAGCATAAAGAGGGAGGTCAAGGACATTGATGATACCCATCCACCCTTGGCACCTGGACAAAAGACTCAGCAAGAACACACGTCATTTCTCCACTCGAATGAGATGAACTGTAATTTTGATTCATCAACAAAAATGATGTCTAATTTTGCATGTATGTGTAGAAATTAAAGAACCATTTAATGCAAATCAGTGTCCTCTTTTTTGCTCCTTCTGATCATAAGTGATCTATTCACACTACACTCATAATCTAGCACAGCAGCTCCCAATTTCTTCTGTATCACACAACTGTTTTGAATGTTTCAAAATCTTCATGCTTTCTCATCCCTTCCTCACCACCATCCAACATCCTTTGAACCAATACATTGATCTGCAATTTAAAGTTAAATGAAACACAAACATGTAATTTTAAAATATTTAAAAGAAAACACATCTAGTTTTTTTCTTGAAAAAAAACTATTTAAAATATCACAGCTGATAATGTTTTTTCTTTAGAAATATCTGCCTTATGCCCCCTTCAAATTTCTTCATTTAACCCTACTATGTCACTCACCACAATCTGAGAATCAATGATCTAGCTAGTACTTCAGGAGTTATTTGAGGAGAAGGGCCTCTGTAGCGTTCATCCTGTTCATGAATATTTGTGTTGAAATTTGCATGCACCATTAGGAGTTGGTGGGGTGGAGTTAAGGGGAGATGAGAAGAAAAGGGGTTTTGAGCTGAAAGTTAACAACATTGACTTGACTTTTATCACTTGCAACAATAAACAATTTCTACTTGGTTTTTAAATGAGGCATTGCCCAGAACTCTGTCATTAATAGTGAACAAAATTGATGTAATCAACTGGTGGCAGCTGAACAACACGCGGTAAAACAACCAAGGGCCATGCGGGAATATGACAAATTGGTGGCATAGCTGTGGGATCCGAAACAATCCAGTGTGAAATTGAATTTTCTTGAGTCTATTGTAGAGGGGAAAGGGGTTGGGCTCTGTGGCGTAAGAAGTGGTTACCTGGTAGAGTCTTGTGGAAGATTTAGTTTTAGGGCTTCTGAACCCAGGTCTGGGGAATCCCAAGAAGAGGTCCTTTTGGCTCTTGTAAAGGAAAAGAACCAGTCCAATTTATTAAGGAATTCTGAACCCAGGTCTGGGGAATCTTAACTTTGGGTTACTCAGGTGTTTTTGGACTGCAATTCCCAGAAGCCTTCACCACCAGCTGTGTTGGCTGAGGTTTCTGGGAGTTACAGTTCAAAAACACCTGAGTAACCAAGGTTAAGAACCACTGGTTTATGCCACGCAAACAAAGCAAAAAGTTGATTATGGAGGCACAGGTTGAGCTCCAGGGTGCTGAAGGAAATGGGTACCCTCAAATTAAAAGTGATGAAGAAACTGAGGGGCCAGTAATAATTGCCTCAGAAGGAGAAAATATCCAACGCTCCCAAGATTTTGAAATATGGAAGCTAGAATAGGAGTTTAAACTGAAGGAGTTAGCTATGAAAAACCAATTAGATTTGGAAAAAGAAAGAAAAAAACAGAGAATTGGAAAGGAAAAGAGAATTTGAGCAAGAAACCAGGCAAAGAGAAATGCAGTTCCAAATTGAGATGAAGAAAACTGAATTAACTGCCTATAATAATAATCATAACAACAACAACAATAAGAAGAATAAGAATGAGAATAAGAATAAGAATAAGAATAAGAATAAGAATAAGAATAATGTGGGAAATCCCTCAAACATCGAAAGAAATTTCCCCAATATCGGAAAGGAGATTGTCCTGAATCTTTCCTGATTTCCTTTGAGAGAGCTTGTTGGGGCTTTGGAGTTAAAGATGATTAGAAGATGAGGTCACAGATAGGGGGAGTTTTATCTGAGATCTATTCACAGATGCCTCTTGAACAAGCTAGAGATTTTGAGGCTTACCAAAAGATGGTGTATTCCCGATTTGAGATTAATTCATAGTATCTCAGGATAAAATTTTGATCAATTTCAAAGAAACCTATGGAGTCTTTTGCTCAACTTGGGGCATGTCTAACTTAGTATTTTAATAAGTGGCTAGAACAGGAATGGGTCACCTCCTTAGAACAAATGAGAAATGTGTTTGGATTAGAACAATTTTATTCAATTTTACCAGGGGAGTTGCATTATCTTGTCAAGGACAAGGATCCTAAAAATGTGCAACAGATGACTGAATGTGCTGATTCTATTAATGGGACCAAAGATCCTTGATTCTCCAAGGTAAAAATTGATAGAAAAGTTTGGGATGACAGTAAGAGAGCATCCTAATCCAATAAAAATTACCTCAGTCATACTCAAGTTAAGGAAAGACATTTTAAAGCAAGACCTTCATTCTCAGAGCAAAGTCTACTGAGATCAAAAGGGGGGTTTTGAGTTGAAAGTTAACAACATTGACTGGATTTTTATCACTTGTAACAATAAACAATTTCTACTTGGTTTTTAAATGACACATTGCCCAGACCTCTGTCATTAATACTGAATAAAGTTGATATAATCAACTGGTGGCAGTTGAATGACACATAGCATGTGCCTTTGCTTGGTGAAACAACCAAGGGCCATGTGGGACAGCTTCTTACCTAGATTGTTTAATCTTTTATCAGGTCTATGAAACCACTCCCCCTCTTTCTTCTCTACGTGTCTCTTGTGCTCAACAGAACTGGTCTTGGGCCAGGCTTGGAGCCCCTTAATGAATGCTGGTAGAAGCGGCTGGCAGGAGTGTTGGCTCTTCTCTTGATCCTCAGGGAGCCTCATTCTCCTCACTAGTTTGGGGCGGTGCTGTTGGGCATCTTTGGTGTGATGGAGCTGGTGGGATTGAAGCCTTCTTTGGGTCTGGTGTGGGTGACCTCTGTCTTCCCTGGCCTCATCTGCTTGCAACAGAGAAGCTGCTCACTGATTCTTTCCAGAGGTCATCTTTTCACTCCCTTCAGTCCAGCCACCCTGAAAAAAAATCAGCTCCAGCTCTTCCACCACTGAACCCTAGGTCTCCTCTATTGACCCCTTATTGGGGTCATAGGCCTAGAAGACCCTGAATTTTCCTTGTCCTGTAACCCTGCCCATAAGTCCTCTTTCCACCCGCTCAGATGCTTCTCATCACCCCTGTCATCACTCTGCTCACTTGGGCTTCAGTCTTACAACCTTCCCGAGAGACCAGAATGGGTGCTCTGCCTAGACTCTTGGTGTGTTTTGGGGTGACAGCAGATGGCCTGCCTGGAGAGCCAGTGGCCACCCCCTTACACAGTACTGTAGTAGTTTCTTTCTCTATGAGAAGAAGTGGGGGACAAAACCTGCAGAGAATTAAAAGTAAACTCCTCCCCAGTGGAGATCCCTTAAAAATCTGCCTCTTCGTAACAGTCAAGTATATATTTTTTTAAAAAATCAGGCTTATTGGGGGTAATAAACCTTGGAAATTTCCCTCTGCAGTTAAACTGAGAAACCCTCTATTCTCTGGGGAAGAGATCTCAGGCCCTGGGAAACAGATCTGGATGCAGGGCTCATGTGGCTAAGCCCAATAATGCCTCTGCTAGGAAGGAAAAGGCTGCTTTTTCAGACAGAGTTTTTTTTTTCTAGAGGACCTTTTGCTATTTCCTGCAAAGTTGGTTCACAAGCTGTCATTCACATCCCCTGGAGACTATGGTACAATCATACTCCACTGTTTCCTCTGCTTTGTGCAGTTTAAGGGGTGTGAGAGAGAGCCTCGTCCATGTGCCCAAGTGATGTTTACATTAACACATGTTTTAGTTAATTTAAAGAAATAGGTGAGAAATTTACTTACGCGGCAGTTTCTCTGCTTCAGTAAGTGAGGCATTTCCTGTCTTGAACAGCGGCTGAGCCTTTGTTTCTTCCTTGGAGTATGTCTGCTCTAAGTTATGTTTCCTTTCTGTCTGAAGTACAAAACAAATAGCCCCTTCAAGCAGAATTCATAGAAGAAAGATATTGCAGTCAACCCATTATCTGAGTTTGTGATTGGTTTTTTTTATTAGTAACAGTTACTTTCTGCCATTCTTCGAATGAATTCAATGGCTCTTCTCTTCCCCACATTAAACTCACAACCACCTTGTAAGGTAGAGATCAGGCTGAAAGAGAGAGACTGGGTTAAGGTCAGCCTATGAGTTTCATTGCTTAGTTGGGACTAGAACCAGGGTTTCCCAAATCCCAGTGCAACACTTTTATTTTATTTTATTTCTAGCCCACTCTATATAACAACATCTTAGGGCATGTTATGTTGTTATTTAGTCATTAAATCATGTCCGACTCTTCGTGACCCCATGGACCAGAGCACGCTAGGCCCTCCTGTCTTCCACTGCCTCCCAGAGTTGTGTCAAATTCATGTTGGTTGCTTCGATGACACTGTCCAACCATCTTGTCCTCTGTCGTCCCCTTCTTCTCTTGCCCTCACTTTCCTAACATCAGGGTCTTCTCCAGGGAGTGTTCTCTTCTCAGGAGATAGCCTAAGATTTGGAGCCTCAGCTTCAGGATCTGTCCTTCCAGTGAACACTCAGGGTTGATTTCCTTCAGAATGGATAGGTTTGATCTCCTTGCAGTCCAGGGGACACTCAAGAGTCTCCTCCAGCACCACAGTTCAGAAGCATCAATTCTTCGACGGTTAGCCTTCTTTATGGTCCACCTCTCACTTCCATACCTTACTACTAGAAAAACCAGAGCTTTGACTATGCGGACCTTTGTTGGCAAGGCAATGTCTGTCTAGGTTTATCATTGTTTTCCTCCCAAAAACCATGCGTCTTTTAATTTCGTGGCTGCTGTCACCATCTGTAGTTATCATGGAGCCCAAGAAAGTAAAATTTGTCACTGCCTCCATATCTTCCCCTTCTGTTTGCCAGGAGGTGATGGGACCAGTGGCCATGATCTTAGGTGTTTTTTTTTAATGTTGTACTTCAGGTCATGTTTTGCGCTCTCCTCTTTCACCCTCATTAAGAGGTTATTTTATTTTATTTATTTTATTTATACCCCGCCCACTCTTCTGACCACTCTGAGCGGCTTCCAATGCTTATATATATATATATAGCATTAACACAACTTAAAATTAGTAAATTATTCAAGATGGCAAAAAAAATCAAAAAAGAGGTTAATTCCTCCTCCGTTTCTGCCATCAGAGTGGTATCATCTGCATATTTGAGGTTGTTGATATTTCTTTCTGCAATCTTAATTCCGGCTTGGGATTCATCCAGTCCTGCCTTCCTCATGATGTATTCTGCACATAAGTTAAATAAGCAGGGAGACAATATGCAGCCTTGTCGTACTTCTTTCCCAATTTTGAGCCAGTCACTTGTTCCATATCCAGTTCTAACTGTTGCTTCCTGTCCCACCTATAGGTTTCTCAGGAGATAGAGAAGGTGGTCAGGCACTCCCATTTCTTTAAGGACTTGCCATAGTTTGCTGTGGTCCACACAGTCAAAGGCTTTTGCATAGTCAATGAAGCAGAAGTTGATATTTTTCTGGAACTCTCTGGCTTTCTCCATAATCCAGCGCATGTTAGCAATCTGGTCTCTAGCTTCTCTGCCCCTTTGAAGGGCGTGTTATAGAGCTGAATAAAACAATTCTAAAATATAAATCTTTAAAACAATTAAACAAAAAACCACATAAAATTAAAAGATCCAGTGCATTAAAACCTGTACATGCCAAGATCCTCTACTTCCAATGGCTCTAATACATAAACATGTTTGGACTTTGAACAGAAAAGATGCCAATGTCGGCGCCAATCAAGCCTCCAAGGGTTGGGCATTTTACAGTCAGGCTGCTATACTGCACTACTGTGTATTAGCCACCTAGAGTGGTCCATTGGTTCAGATAGGCGGGGTACAAATCAAATAAATAAATAAATAAATAAATAAAAATATTAGGATTTAAGTCAGCAGTTTCAATTTTATAATTAAACTTCTTTTGAGTCTGGGAAGATTCAGATCCCATGCCCTTAACTAAATTAACATCCATAAACAGGCAGGTGATCACAATCAGCCTATGTGAGGACTTTGCTACAAGGATAATATTTTGTGTTATAGCAAGGCTAATTGGAAAATCAGAATTAAAAAACAGGATTGGTGTATTTAGTGGTGCAGGACTTGGAGGGTGGCAGATTAAACTATCTTTTCCATCATTTGCACTTCTATCTTATAGCAATTCTTTTGCTCATCCATTCTGCCTATATTCCTGCATATCTTCCATGCTTCATACTGCCTGCTAACATTAAGCCTATCAACTCAGCCAGAGATGCTGACCTGTGGACCCCAGTGCTTGGCTCCAGATAACCACTGTTGCAGTCTGTTGATATCCCACCATGTCCATGACCATATTTCATGCCTCAAGAGCTCGCTGTTTGGGTGCCTTATGTGGACCTTAATCTCCAGTTTATTTTTGACTGTTTCATTCACATATTGATATTTGGACTTCAGTCTGCCTGGATGTGCAGGAGTCTCTGTCTCTTCGGCTAGCCAAGGCATCATTGCCCTTCACGTGGTCAAAGCTGGAATAGAAGGTATATTTTTGCTCTTGTCTCTTGGCCACTATGGCCAATGAACCTGTTGACTGAGAGATTCTGGGAGCTGTGGTTCAAAACGGCAACCTTTCCAAGCTGTGTTGTCATCTGTTTGCCCATCTATGTGATTTTAACATGCTGAAGTTGCAAAGCTGGTAAGAGATTTTGGTACAGAAATCCATTTCCTTCCGTTTCTTTAGCTATTTTGGTGGTCACTGAGCTATCAAAATAAAGCATCCCAAGACTGAAAATAAAAACAAAATGCCAAAAGAACAAAAATATTCTTGTAAACAATTTAAGGTTGCTGACTGCACAATTCAAAGGCAGCACATGTGTCCTGCACACCCGTCTCTTCTAATAATTACCCAGACAAAGAAGGGAGAGAGGGGAATTATATGATGACCAGATTCAAAATTCTAGTTTTGAAACTATTCTGCCTCCCAGGATGAGCCACTGTCTCAGGTTGCTTTCAGATCAGTTCTTGCCTCCACTGATGTTTGCCTTTGCTATGATTCATTCCTATTGTCAGTCCAGTATGGGCCTGATTGTATCCTGGCTAGAGCCACAGCATTCCTTAAAATGCCTTGCCCAGTCAGACTTTGACTAATAAATCCAGATCTTGAAAAAGTTGAAGATCAGACATCACCGAACCCAGTGGCTCTGTGAAAGGTATAGTTCACAAGAACTACCTTAGGGAAGGTCTGTATTCCATAATGGAGTGTCTGCTTTGCACAAAGAGGTCCCAGGTTCAAAGTCCCATGACTGCTGGCAGGGGTTAGAATTGAATTCTGCCAGAAAACCCTGCAGAGCTGCTGCCTGTCAGTGCTGATAATACTAGACTTGGTGGGCCAAGGGTGTGACTCAAGATAAGGAGTTTCCCTGTGTTCCAAATTTCCCCCATACCCTGTCCATTTCTTAACTGCCTGCTTCTCTGTGTGCAGTCTGCTTCTTGAATCATAATGGACGGATTTTCTGCCTAATAGGCTCACATCTGGTGCTAAGGCAGCGTGGTCTTTTTCTTTGCTCTCCACTTGTGTTAGACTGTAATTCTCCATGAGCGTAGGTTGGATTTTCCTGTGCCTCAGAGGATAAGTGATTACAGATGCACACTTCCTACCAGCATGTGTGGATCTGTGTATTCCCTTGCCTTCATTGCGGCCCCTGCATGCAGCCTTACTATGTGCAGCATCCCAATTGAGGAATATTTCGGATATTGGGAATCTAGCTTTGATGTAGAAGCACACCATAGACGCAACATCTCTCCAAGGGAAAGCATATTTGTTGTACAGCACTCAATATTGTTTGGTGCCACACAAGGATTATAAAAAGATAGACCCTACCTACAGCAGAGTCTAGACAAGAGCTTAGAAAAGATTTAAAAAAAAACCTAAGTGTTTTAGGTGTTGAATTGCTTCTGATTTACGTCAGCCCTGTAAATCAAAGACCTCCAAAAGACCCTATAGTTAACAGTCTTGCTTAGTTCTTGCAGGCTAAAGGCCAAGGTCTCCTTTATCAATTCATCTAAAGTTAAGATTTCCTCAGCCTTTCCTAAGAATATTGTCCTTTATAGTGAGTCACCTTCTCATTGTATACCCATTATATAGTCACTGAAGTTTGGTCATGTTAGGATCCAGTGAAAATTCAAACTGCATTTGATTTAGAAGCCACTTATTTTTCCTTAGGGGCCCATGGTATCCATAAAATACTTCTCCAGCACCACATTGCAAATGAATGGATTTTACTATTGCTTTCTTCCAGTATTCACTTCTGTACATAATAAATAGGGATATCCTAGTCTAAATAATCTTAATTGTGATGTCTAGCTACACATAGTTTTTTTAAAGGATCTTTTCCTGTTTCCTCATAGTTACATAGCTACGTGCAGAGTAGTCTATGACTAGATGGGTGGGCAATCAATCAATCAATCAATCAATCAATCAATCAATCAATCAATCAATCAATCAATCAATCAATCAATCAATCAATCAATCAATCAATCAATCAAGTACCCTTCCAAGTCTCAGTCTCCATTTGATTTCATATCATTTTGGATAATGGTTGAACAAGGTCTGGAAAACCTGAAACAACTTTGATTTCTTCACTGTCAACACTAATGTTATGTAAACCTTCTATAGTCATTATTTGATTTAATGTTCAGCTATAATTCTTTTGCCCCTTTGTCTTTAATTTTCACCAGTAGCCACTTCAACTTAATACTGTATGCTACTATATAAAAAGGTAAAGGTAAAGGTTCCCCTTGACATTTAGTCCAGTCATGTCTGACTCTAGGGCATGGTGCCCATCCCCGTTTCCAAGACGTAGAGCCAGTGTTTGTGCAACGACAATCCTCCGTGGTCACATAGCCAGCGTGACTAGACACAGAACACTGTTACCTTCCCACTGTGGTGGTACCTATTTATCTACTCATATTTGCATGCTTTCGAACTGCTAGCTTGGCAGGAACTAGGACAAGCCACAGAAGCTCACTCCGTTGCATAGATTTGATCTTATGCCTGCTGGTCTTCCAACCTCGCAGCACTGAGGCTTCTACGGTTTAACCCACAGTGCCACCACGTCCCAAGATGGTACTAAATGCATATTTTAAATTGATGTTTCTCATGGCAATTTTCATTCCTTCCTCTGAATCTAGTCTAGTCTTCCATTTGATATGTTTTTACAACTTGAACAGATAAATGAAATTCACCTTTGTCGAACATGCTTGCCAATTGCAAACTATCCTGTTTCTCCACTTTCTGTGCTCCTTGTAGCCTATAGGTTACACACTTGGACAATAAGATATTTCAGAACATCCATTTCTTTTAAAATTGCATCCTGAGCAACACAGTTGAAGGCTTTACTGAAATCTATAAAACACAAATTGATTTTCTTGTGAAAATCCTTTGTACACTCTAGTAGCCAAAGCATATTTTCCATATGATCTCTAGTGCCTCTTTCTTTTCCAAATCCAGCTTGAATATCTGACGTTTCTCACTTATTTCTTCACTGTAAAACCTTGAGCATTACTTTGCTTGCCTGAGTACTTAAAGCAATGGTCCAATAATTGTTGCAATCTTTGACATCTGCTTTCTTCGAAATTGGCATGTATATTAAATGGGTTCAGTCTGCAAATCATTTATTTGTTTTCCATATTTGCCAACATATTATTGTCATCATTTTGATAGGTTCAGGCTATATATAATGAAATGGCTCTATTGGTGCTTTATTTCTTCCAAGTGCTCTGAGTACAGTTTCCACTTCACTTGCAAAAAGTGCAGCTTCTTCCTCATCAGATTTTCTTTTAGTCAGTGATCCCAAAACATTCTCACAATATGCTGGCTTGAGAATTCCAAGACTTGTAGTCCAAAAAGGTAACTTTTAAGCTCTGATGCGTGTGTGATGAGCTTCTGTAGCTCTTATTAGATGATACCAAGCCTTTAGAAAAGGAACAGCAAAGAGAACCAGGCAGTCTCGTTTTTAGTTCATTTTATATTGTCTCAGCTTCCTTACAAAAAACACAGACTGTATTTCTTGAAATTTGTTGTGCAACTCTTAGCTCCCAGAGAACAAATCTGCTGAAAACCAGTCTGCTAAGTATCAAGATAGCAAGTGTGAGGAACCTGTTTGTAATGTTTTAAATATAAACGATGGTTAAATTCTTCTTACACCCATTTCTGCTGTTTACAGTGAGGCCAAATGTTTTTCTCGGGTGAAAGATCTTCCATTCCATTTTAAAAAACCATCCTCCAAACCAATATATAAACAAGCCATCTTATTAATTCTTTTCTAATATTATATAAGCCCATGTCCCTTCACAGAGGTACATTAATCATTCTGAGAAAAGCTATTTCAATCTACACATCAAATGTTTAGATAAAAAATTGGAAATAACTACATTTCAGTCTCATAGTAGCCATTTGCTTTTAGTAGCCATTTGCTACTCTCATAGTAGCCATTTGCATAAAAGCCATTTGCTTTTATTCATAGCTTGAATAAAAGCAAATGGCTTTCAAGTGAGTCTGACTAGTGTATATACAAAGGTGAAGTTGCTCAAAAGTTGTCATTATACAGCTTCCTGTTACAAAGGTGGAAGTCATTTCAATCCTGATTTCATCTTCTTCAAAGAACAAAATGGATGCCTTCCATTTTTAGGAAATGACCCAGCAGTTTCTCTTCTGTATGCTGTTGTTTTAAGAGTTGCAAATCACTTAGCTGTTTGATAATTGTTTAAAATGAAATCAGGTTTCCTTTTAGCTTCTAGCTGTTATAGAGAATGAGGAAAGTCAGTACAATCTTGCCTTTTTTATTATTATTATTATTATTATTAT